AACCAATAGACTCTGTACTTAACAGCACTAATATATTCTGGCAATAGCAAGGTGATCAACTGTAGTCAATTAAAAAAGGGCAGTTTTCCATCTACTGACTTTTCTTGCACAACCTATTTATTTCTTTTTGGTCCTGGAGCATTTCTAACATGTAAGCTTATCACCAGCTGTAAATTGTGGTGACTTTAGAAAGCATGAAAAAAGCAAAAAGGAAAAGAAATCATTTATTGAAAATTAGAAGTTTCCCATATTGACCGTGTTGCACTCAGGAAACGTTTTTGTTCATGATCTGCAGCAGATAACCAAGATTATGCAAGCCATGACACAATCTGTAGCTATTGTACCCTCTTGCTCGTTCCCTTCATTCTGTCCAGAACACCAGCCCTTCTAAACATCGTAATTCCTGAGCTAACACACTGTCATGACATGATGAGCCTGGCAAATTAGTACAAGTAGAAAAAAAACCCTTAACCTTAAAGCAAATATGAATTAACCCTCCCAAACAAAGCACATCTCAAAATTCTCACTTTCATGCTGCCAATATGCATCTTTTATTTGTTAAAGAGATACCCAAATGTTTACCAACAAAGACTTTGGGACACTTGAATCTGAACATCTCTATCAATGCTTTGGCACTTCTGAATAACAGCCATTCCACTGATAGTGGGATATATTATAAGGCTCACCCTTATGTTCTACCTCGTATAGCTAATGCAGAAACAATACTCTAGAAAGTAGCATTATTTTGTAGCTTTCCACCTCCAAAGCTAGTTGGGTAGTTAACAGAAAGAAATAACTGCGCTATCCTCTTTCTCACTAGCATTTTGTTGAAATTTCATGTTCTTCAAGTAGGAAGTTTCAAGGTATTTCTGAAGCTTCTTGTAAAGCTGCAATAAAGTTATTTGGGTTGGTTTTTTTGTTTGTTTGTTTTTTAATGACTCAGGCATAGCACTTCTTAAATGCAGGTGTAAGACCAGGGTTGATCAATAACCACATATCAGTTACTCAGTTCAGGAAACATTAAGAATACCACCACACCAGTGCAGTCTGGCCTGACCAGTTTCTCCATTTTGGAGATACTGGGAAGACAACCCACCACCAAGATGCCTGCCTGCTCTTCCCAGAGCAATAAGGAATTATGACTGACCTCCAGATCAGAGCGCTCGCAAGAAAAAAGGTTCTTTGCATTATAAGTTCTGCCTTGAAATACATATTTTTATTCTTCTGGAAAGTAAGGTTTTAAATTGGAAACACTGACAGATCTTTAGCTGCAGCAATAACAAATAACACCAGTGTAATTTCTCTTGAAAGAAATTGCTCCAGTTTCCAGCTTGAAACCTTTCATTGCTGATGCTGTTGTCAATCTTATCTAGCGACCTATTTACCCAAAGCACAGAATTACAGGAGAGAGTTTTATGACAAGTATTGATCAGGCTTTGACACTAATAATACTCAAGGTTTTGTGGACTTGGATTGTTTTTAGGGCTTGGTCAGAAAGGCCACCTTTCTTTCATGTAAAAAGTCAACAAGCCACCTCAGAGGTTTTTCAAATGAATTTGTCATACCAATTAGGGAAAAGAAGCTATATACACATGCTAAAAGGTGACTAAAATCACCATGCACCATTACATTAAGGATTAAGAAAAAGACCTTTAACACATTGCTGTGAACACTTAGGAAATCAAAAACACTGTCTGGATAGCTACATTCTTTGACTTTCAATGAATCAGTGCTGCCTGCAATGCGTATCCGACCTTTGAGAGAGGGGGAAAAACCCCTCAATGCGAACAAGGTAACTTCCAATTATTTATAATGGGAGCTCGAAGGGCTCGCTCTCGTGGTATAGGTGTGTATTGATATGAACACAAGGAAGCCCCACACGGACTCTCCTCCCCCACTCCCCCAACAAGTTTTGAAAAGGCAAAAACCTGAAATCCATTGGGAAAAGGCTTGGTATAGCTGCTCTGGTTAAAATACATGGCTCATTCCACTTATCAGGGTTCTTCTAGTAAAGATAGAGGCAGAGAGCAGATGGCACAGGGAGAAAGCACATCTGAAAGCACTGAGACACTACTGGGGATAAAAGTAGGGGTAACTGGCCACAGGATAAAGCCATAAAGGTCACAAAATCCACATCACTTGAAAGCTGGCCACTCAATTACGCTTGGATAATACAAGAGAGGTAAAAGAAGCCTCCTTGTTGTTTGGGCTTGGTTTTGGCTTCCTGGTGGGTTTTTTTTCTGGGTGGTTTTTGTTTGCTTGGTTGGTTTTATTTTTCTACTCACTAGTGGTTTGGAAGGAGTTTATTTTGGCCCAGGGGTTGCAGTGGAATGCAACTCCTGCACTGCACTGAACCAGCTTTACTTTGTGTTTTCACTGTAAGAGACACCACCGTCTCCCTGTGACTTCAGAACAGCAGTTTCCAGTGCAACAGTTAGAATGGTCAAACATCAGCTGTATGTCTTCAAACACCAACCTAACTTTGCAAAGATACAAAAAGTATGCACGAACATACAGCTTTTCTGAACACATACATTGCCATCAAGCATATAAAAACAGCATCCTAGATGTGCAATTATTACATATAACACCCTACGCCCGTATCATTGTGTAACCATCCTAGCATACTTATTCAAATGTTTTTAGCTCTTCAAAATCTATTTTTCGCAATAGTATCAGTTCAGAAAGTAGCATTTGCCAGCAGATATTAGCATACTCAAGTCCTGTTGAATTCACAGGGCTTCTATCATCTCCTAATTGTTTACAAATTCTACTGCCATTCATCATTGCAAATCACCAGCTGTACTTGTAATTGAAGAAGACGCTCAGAAGGCAGAGATAAGTGCAAACGCATTAATCAGAAATCGTAATTTTTACTACCACCAACGTTATGCTCTCACAATACCTATAATCAGGCATATCCAATATCTGCCATCTTCTCAGTTATTCAAAATACTCTGGGGACTGCTAGGTGTGGGTGGGAATGGGGGTAAATAACTCAGAGAAAGCAAAAATACACTTCATATGAAGTAGTTTTAAAATTAGGTGATAGGAATACCTTTCTGTTCTAGTATCTGAAAAAGACATAGATTTCTGCCGAGCATGCTAGCAGCTGAAATTGTGAGAGGTGGTATGTGAGGAACACGAAATCCACAGGCCTTCCCTGGTTTGTGGGGATGGAGGGAAGCAGAGCACAGGCCTAACTCATCACCCAGAAATTCTTTTTTTATTATTTTTTCAACTTAGTAACCATTACCTTGTAGGAAAAGGGGAAAAAAAAAAAAAAGATTAGTTAGACCTTTAAGACTACCCAGTCCTTTTAGCCATGCTCTTTACAAAGAGGAGCAACAGGTAGGACTACATCCTCTCCAATAGCTTCATGAATCTAAAGCATAAGCCACAACCACACATTTAGTAGCCTACATATGGCTTGTTTCCTGTTTAAATTGTAGGTTTTTAATTTGGCCAAGTGACTTCCAACTGGGTTTCATAGCACCCTTAATTATCAAGGCCTAACATTTTTTAGTACCAAAACAATCATCAATTAAACAACGTTTTCCAAATTATCAGAATATTAAAGATATATCTACAGCTGAAAAAAAAAAAAAGTCTTTAAAGCAACTTCTAATACTGAGAAGCAAAGATATTTTAGAAGTTAAGGGTTAAAACAAGAACACTTGCTGGATGTTGACTGATTTACAGACACAACCCTCAGAATGAAGACAGCCAGCAAGATGCAGTTTTAGGTAGTATATAAAGTGGATGCCACCCATTGTCTATTTAAACCTGAGAACACTTGATCTAAAGTGTTAAGCTCTGAATGCAACACACACAATCAGAGCAGAAAATTAAGTAGTGGGTGGACAGAATCTTTTCTGCCTACCCTGAATAATAAATAGGCTGCTTCTGCTGCGGCTGTCAGAGACTATCCCTTGGGCACTCCATTAGAGAGCACGTAGCAAAGTGTAGGCTCAAAGTCACAGAGACTGATGTTACACAGAGTAAGCTGGAGAGATTTCACTCCTTTTCCACAAGGAAAATTGCTCTCTGGACAGAACAGCGCAGAAAACTCAGAGAGCTTCAGAGCTCCTTGTGTGAGCCAACAGCACTAAGGAAAAGAAAACAAACAGCAGAACACTGCAAGCTCATCTCGAGCATCAGTGACTTAGTTCCCATCCCTGTGGTTTAACGATTCCAGCTTGACTTAAAAGCAACTTGAGACAGGACAAGACCCAAGAAGTTGGTGGGTAAGTGGCACTAAGGAGACGAGGAGATAACCACCACACAAATAATCAAACCATCACATACACTCCTGGCTAATGCCCTTACACCGTCCTGAAACTCAAATGCAGAGTAAAATGCAGCATAATGAATCCACCACCTCTAAAGCCATCCCTACCTACCTAAGCTGTGTTACAAACACTTGACTTTTTATACCATTCTTACACTGAGCTTTTTAGCTCTCCACCCACCCCTCAACTGCCACCATTTATTGCTTTTTAATCCATCCTTTACCATCATGCCCTCAGGAGGATTCCTTTTCTTCTATTTTCAAGCCTTATGGAATCACAGAATGGTTTGGGTTGGAACGGACCTTAAAGATCACCTAGTTCCAACCCCCTTGCCATGGGGCAGGGATGAGGGTACTTGCTACCTTTCCCTGAATATTTTTCCTTAAGTACATTCTCATTATCTCGTTTTCCTTTTCATTCATTAGCCTCCTATTGTCTCTTTCAAGTGCTCTTATTAAGAACTTTAAAGATCAGTTTCAAAAGCCAGTTTCCCAAACCCAACTTACACACCAAAACATTTCCAAATGCTCTGTACCACCATCAGATATTGTATCAGATTGTGATTATCCACAGGAAAGCATGGAATATTGCTTCAAACATTCATTTAAACAGAAATCATGATCCCTTTCCCTGGAAATGGGTTATGCAATTAGCAGAAAAGCCTCCTTGCAGTTCTGTTTAAAGCAGAACCAGGGAAGTCAGGCCTACCTGTGCGAGCTGCCCCAGTGAGTAGAGGGTGAGTTTCTTTGGGTCTGTGTAGACAATCTCTCCAAGCTCCTGATAAGGCTTCCCAGTGGGGGTGAAGTATCCCTGTGTGAACTGCTTTTGCCTCCTATGGTAGTTTTCCCAAAACACTTGTTCCCTTGGAGGTTCACTGCTTCTGGCCAAGACCTTTCCTTCCCTCTGAGCGACGCCAGGCAAAGCCTGAATGCGCACAGAATCTCGAGGATTCAACGCTGCCAGCGCCTTGATCCTGCTTTTCCTAGGTGGATTTGGCAGGGCTGCCTTGGGCCTGCTGCTCCTGCTCCTGCCCCTGTTTGGTGCCTCCACGCTCCCATTCTCAGAAGCTGCTGGCTCCAGCATTGCTCCAGAACGGGAGCCTTGGTGGTGTTACTCCCCAGGTTATTAAAAACTCCAGTTTCCCAGTTATGAAAACACACAGCTGCTGCCCAAACCCTGAAGCAAATCTTTTTAATTTTCTAAAGGGCAGCCCAGAAGAAGAATCAGCCTTTAACTAACACTACACGAGGTCTCACTCGCCTCAGCAGCCCCTCACACAACAGAAACAAACCCTGAGGGGCCAGAGCACCTAAAACCTAACCAGTCTCCCGGGAAACACCCACAGCTGCTCCCCCGAAGGACTCTCTCACAAGTAACACCCCCTTTACACCTATTTTCCACAAGAGCAGCACCTCCCCGGCCCGCAGCCCTCACACCCGGTGCCTCCTCACCTCCCAAGCTCCGGCAGCCTAATCTACCCCCACCTCCTCCCTTAGGACGCTGCAGGGGGGGCGAGCGCCCGCCCCGCTCCTCAGCCGCCTCAGGGGACGACTC